TGGGCTGCAGACGCCAGCACGCTGATGCTTTACATCTTGACCGCGCTTTTTATTTTAATTAAGTTGTTTCACCAATTTTCTAGCTGGCAGTCCCCTGCTGAGTCATGCCAGATGTGCTTCGAGAATTTTATATTAGTGATTTTTGGAGTCCTCTGTAAGAAGCTTCTCAAGTGTTTTGGCCTCCCTAATTTCTTCTTCTTTATTTTTTATCTTTCCTTTAAAATTTTTTTTAATGTTTACTTATTTTTGAGACAGAGGGAGACAGAGCATGAGCGAGGGAGGGGAAGAGAGAGAGGGGAACACAGAACCTAAAGCAGGCTCCAGGCTCTGAGCTGTCAGCACAGAGCCCAACGCGGGGCTCGAGCTCACAAACTGCGAGATCATGACCTGAGCCGAAGTCAGACGTTCAACTGACTGAGCCCCCCAGGCGCCCCTATTTTTTATTTTTGCTTAGAGTGCATGTGTGAGTGGGGAGAGGGAGGGAGAGGGAATCTCAAACAGGCCCCACACTCAGCGCAGAACCCCACACGGGGCTCAGTCCCACGACCCTGGGATCATGACCTGAGACGAAGTCAAGAGCTGGGCGGTCAGCCTACTGAGCCACCCAGGTGTCCCTTTTCTTCTTTTTATATTAAAAAATATAATTTAATGAAACTACATAAGCAGTACAACATGAAATAGTTTGAATAAATAATTTGAAAATGCAGATAAACGAAAGAAAAGAATCTCATCATCTATTGAGATACTTTTAAGATTTTAGAGTGTTTCTCTAGCCCTTTTCATAAAAACTGTACGTTAAAATTTTTTAAGTAGAGATTGTACCATGTATACACTACAGCGTCCTCCTGCCTCCACGTTGTATCAGGAGCATTTCTCATAGACATAAATATTGTCTTATGATGTCTAGTATTTAATTGTGTTAATATACCATAATTTATTGAACCAGCTTTCTATTGTTGGAACTTTGGTTGTGTCTCATTTTTTGTCATGAAATACTTTTGTTATAAAAAATTCTGCAATGATTATCTTTGCGACATGCAAATGTCACATTTCTGGGAGTAGAACTATTTTTTTTTAATTTTTAAAAATATTTATTTATTTTTGACAGAGAGAGAGAGAGAGAGAGAGAGAGAGACAGACAGACAGACAGACAGAGCATGAGCAGGGGAGGGGCAGAGAGAGGGAGACACAGAATCCGAAGCAGGCTCCAGGCTCCAGGCCCGATGCGGGGCTTGAACTCACAAACCGCGAGATGATGACCTGAGCCGAAGTCGGACACTCATCTGAGCCACCCAGGCGCCCCTGGGAGTGGAACTATTGAGCCTTATGTAGGCATCGCTAACTTGCTGCTAAGACAAATTGTATCAATTTATACTTCCTTCAAAATGCCTCTTTTGCTGCATCTCTGCCAATATTGGGAATTATTATTTTTTAAAACTTGGGTCAATTTGGTAAGCCAAAATGGCTTCTCATTATTTTAATTTGTATTCCTCTAATTTCTTGGGAGGTAGCAGCTTTTTTTTATGGAATAGCTGTCCACTTGTGTTTTTCTTCATTATGTGCTCGCCACCTTTGCTCATTTTCTAAGTGGGCTGCTTATCTCTTACTGCTTCGTAAGAGCCTTTTCGGTAGTAAAGACATTAATGATGGTAACTGTTGTGTTGCACATATTCCTGCTGGTTTGTTGTTTGTCTTTGAACCTTATGCTGGCAGGTTTTTGACGAGTAGAACTTTTTGTTGGTAGTCTTTTTCTTCCTTTGCTTTTATAATAGGTTACATTTTGATTAGTTTCTATATTCTACTTATAAGCAATGTGATGCTTACTTTAGAGCAAGGTTTAGAGAAGTGGAAACAGGTACGCCGTTAGCCCCTTATTCACCGTTACTGATTGCTGCTGGTTTTGGTTTCCCTACTACAAGTAAATAGAAAACAGGACTTGATCTTTGGCTTTTAAAAGTGTCAGCTTTGGTGTTTAAGGTCCAAAGGTTATAAAGGTTTTTCCTGCTTCTACTGTCGAGCAGCCACCCCATTTCCCTGCAAAAGTTACCTCACCTTCCCCCTGACCGATCTCAGCCTGTCTCTGAGATTCCCCGATGTGGAGGACCTGGCTTTCTTCTGATGTAATCTCTCTCTGCTTTAAGCTCCTGTGACCTCACGTTATCCTCACACACACCACCAACCACTTCCTCTCCTCCCTCATGTGCTGGTCTCAGCTCTGTAAAAAGACTGGTCTATTCTGCCCTTCTCCTTCCATCTCTTTTTTTTTTTTTTCCCTCTAGACTGTAAAAAGTGGGGGTGGGAGTGGGAGGGGGAAGGAAATAAACGCACACAGACATCACAGAGGTGTTTCCTTACAGTTAGCACCATCCTGCATAGTGGGTGACTTGGTATTGGGGTGCCAGTGCTTTGCACAGTACCCAGTCCGTTCCCCTTGCTTATGGGCTCCTCTTTCCAGGAGACAGTCGTTTGTGTCCAGGAACTTTATATCACATTTCAAAGAGATATTCTGCCAACCCATATTTAGTGTAGATAATTGGTATTTCACTTTATTATTATCTACCATAATTAGATATATTCCCAGAGCGGAAGGTATTTTTCATTTTCTGCAAGAACTCTCAAGTAGGCAGATATGTTTTGTTGGGGGTTGGGGGAGGGGCAAGAGACCAAAGCTGTGAACCTGTGGGTCCCAGGAGGTGGGAACAGATACACCTGTGCTATGCCACCTGCTCCCTCATGGTTCTAAGTATTCTCCCCCCCCCCCCGTCACCCGCTGCCCTGTTTATATCCCACTTTTAAAATTATAAAAGCAATCTATCAGCACAAAAAAGAGTTTTGAAAAAATAACCCGCCAGTAATCCCACCACCCTACAAATTATTTTTCTCTTTCTTTTAATCTTGGCTCAACTGCATACTTAGTTTTACATGGCTATAGTCTAGCAGCACTTTTGTATTAAGTGTTTAGCTTAACTTTAAATTTGTATTAATAGCATTTTCTATTAATTTTTTAACAACACTGTAAGTAATTTTTTAAAAGTATATTTATTTTGAGAGAGAGAGTTGGGGGAGGGAGGGAGGGAGAGAGAGGCAGAGAGAGGGGGAGAGAGAGAATTCCAAGCAGGCTCCTTGCTGTGAGCGCAGAGCCCATTGTGGGGCTTGAACTCATGAACTGCGAGATCATGATCTGAGCCAAAATCAAGAGCTGGACACTTAGAACTGACCGAGCCACCTACGTGCCCCAAGTAATTTTTTTTAAGATTTTTTCTTTTTAAGTAATCTCTACACCCACCATGGGGCTTGAACTCACAACTCTGAGATCAAGAGTTGCACTCTCCACTGACTGAGTCAGACAGGGGCTCCAACACTATCACTAGTTTTCCATGTTGCTATATGAATTTCATAATTAGGATTTTTATTGGCTGCCATAGTAGTCTGTCAATGATTTAATCATTCTTTGTTCTCGGACATTTAGATTCTTTTGTGCGTGTTTGTCCCTTTTGTGTTGTTTTAATCATACTGCATATTTCCGTATACAGCTTTTGGGAATTTTTGTTGTTAGGATAAGAACATGGGCCTTGGGGTCCCTGGACCCGAGGATTTGTCACGTAACTGGTTCTGTGCAGCTACTCTCCTGCTTGCTAAGAGTCATGTCTTTCTTCATCCAGACAGGTTTTCAGTATAAACGTGTAAGAAATGTGCAGGCAAGCGAGGCTCTGGGATGCCGAAGCAGACGCGGGAGTTGTGGGCTGAACAAGGGAGACGGTGGGGTTTTCCTTCCTCTTTCCAGCAGGTGGGAACCAGCTAGCTTCTGTTTCATCTGAGTGTGAGTGTCACAGTGATGTCCTGACAGAGGGCCTCTTTCCTAGGGCCCCGGGTTTCCTGTCACAGCAGGGCCATAGTTCTCCTTTTCCAGAGCATGAAGGAGACAGGTGGATCTTCTTGCCTTTGAGTATTAAGTTAAAATGAAATTTGGGGCTTCCCCAAGACCGTTCTCCAGCTCATCTGATGACCATGTGGTTGCCGTTTTGAGAGTCATCCTGCACCTCACATTTAGTGGTCCACTTACCAGCCAATAACAGTTTTAGGTGAAAATTACGGCAAGCAGACACTAACTAGAGAAAAAAGGGCCTGAGAGGTGATACAATTTGCTGGAGTTTAGTTTATTTATGAGACAGCATACATTCTGGCAGTAGCAAATCATCTTAGATTTGACTGAATTCGTGCAACAAAAAACACAAAGCTATACAAAATTCATGATTGAATAGTAGGAGGCAAATTAGCAGAAGTCCTTGCCAAGTCTCATATATGAATCGGAAGATTTCTTTTTTTTTTTTTTTTTTAATTTTTTTTTTCCCAACATTTATTTATTTTTGGGACAGAGAGAGACAGAGCATGAACGGGGGAGGGGCAGAGAGAGAGGGAGACACAGAATCGGAAACAGGCTCCAGGCTCTGAGCCATCAGCCCAGAGCCTGACGCGGGGCTCGAACTCACGGACCGCGAGATCATGACCTGGCTGAAGTCGGACGCTTAACCGACTGCGCCACCCAGGCGCCCCTGAATCGGAAGATTTCTAAAGAAAGGAGGCGCTGAGCCATACCTTTGTTTTCTTGTTTTTTGTTTTAGTTTGTTTTTAGGTCTCGGTGATTGGGTTTTTACTAGCGCACGTGCTTAGGGAGTCATGCTGGCCCCTGAGAAATTGAGGGGGCGCGATACGAGTGCTTTCTCCTTTTGGCTATGCAACCAGCTAGGAATTTCCAGGTATTGATGTTTAGGGCCGGCCAGGTGGCCTTGTCACTGCGTGTAAACTTCTCTTTCCATCCGTCCCCCAATGTCCCCAGCGTTTTGGAAACCTGTTGGGGTAAAACTCAGCCGTGAGGTTCACGAGCGTGCACCCCGGCTGTGTGCGTGTGTGTTAGTGTGATGGGCGTGTGATGAAGATGATGCCGAACAGAGTCCAGGGGGACCCCGGGGATCACTGATCCTGTTCTGCTTCTGTTGTAGCCCCTGCCAGCATCCAGCCATGGGGGATATGAAAACTCCAGATTTTGATGACCTTCTGGCTGCCTTTGACATCCCAGACCCCACCAGCCTTGATGCCAAGGAGGCCATCCAGACCCCCAGTGAGGACAATGAGAGTCCTCTCAAACCCGCAGGCATGTGTATGGATGAGAGCGTGTCCTTGTCTCACTCAGGATCTGCCTCAGATGTGCCGGCCGTGAGTGTCATCGTCAAGAACACCAGCCGCCAGGAGTCGTTCGAAGCGGAGAAGGACCACATCGCTCCCAGCCTCCTCCACAATGGATTCCGGGGCTCAGACCTGCCTCCAGATCCCCACAACCTGGGTCACAACTGTGGGAAATTTGATTCAACTTTCATGAATGGAGACAGTGCCAGGAGTTTCCCCGGCAAGCTAGAACCTTCCAAGTCAGAGCCATTACCGACCTTTAACCAGTTCAGTCCAATCTCCAGCCCAGAACCTGAGGATGCCATCAAAGATAATGGGTTTGGAATGAAGCCCAAGCACTCTGACGGTTATTTTCCACCCCCTCCTGGGTGTGGGCCTGTGGGGGGCCCAGTCCTGGAGGCTCTGGCAAAGTTTCCGGTCCCAGAGCTGCATATGTTTGATCACTTTTGTAAGAAAGAGCCCAAGCCAGAACCTCTGCCCTTGGGGAGTCAGCAGGAACACGAGCGAGGTGGGCAGAAGGTGGGGGAGCCTCACAAGGAGCTGGATGCCAGTCGATTCTTTGGGGAAGCTTTGGAATTCAACAGCCACCCCAGCAACAGTATTGGAGAGCCTAAGGGGCTTGCCCTGGAGCTCGGCACCTGCTCGTCAGTCCCCCCTAGGCAGCGTCTGAAGCCAGCTCATTCCAAGCTGTCCTCTTGTGTCGCAGCCTTGGTGGCCCTGCAGGCCAAAAGAGTGGCCAGTGTCACCAAGGAGGATCAGCCTGGCCACACAAAGGAACCCTCAGGGCCCACTAAAGAGGGCTCCAAAGGCAGCCCCAAAATGCCCAAGTCACCAAAGAGTCCCCGGAGCCCCCTGGAGGCCACTAGAAAGAGTATCAAGCCCTCGGACAGCCCTCGGAGCATCTGCAGTGACAGCAGCAGCAAAGGCTCCCCTTCGGTGGCTGCCAGCTCCCCACCAGCGATTCCCAAAGTCAGGATCAAAACCATTAAGACGTCATCGGGGGAAATCAAACGGACCGTCACGAGGATCCTGCCGGACCCTGACGATCCCAGTAAGTCCCCCGTTGGGTCCCCTCTAGGGAGTGCCGTTGCCGAGGCCCCGAGCGAGGCGCCAGAGGATGAGGTCACGGCCTTGCGCGCGGTGGAGCGCTCTCCTGAGGCGGGCGCAAACGCCGGGAGCCCCCAGGGTGACAAGAAGGGGGACGAGAGCGCGCCGAAGGCCAGCGAATCTTCGTCTTCCTGCTGCAGCTCCGGGTCTCGGGCCCCAAAGGGGGCTGCCCCCGGCCCGCAGACGGGCAGGAAGCAGCAGCAGAGCGCGGCGCCTCAGGCGTCCGCGCCGGCCGCCGCCAGCCTCCTGCCCAAGGCAGTGCACCTGGCCAACCTGAACCTGGTCCCCCACAGCGTCGCCGCGTCAGTCACGGCCAAGTCCTCCGCGCAGCGGCGGAGCCAGCCGCAGCTCACCCAGATGTCCGTGCCCCTGGTCCACCAGGTGAAGAAGGCCGCCCCGCTGGCCGTGGAGGTCTTCAACAAGGTCCTCCACGGCTCCAACCCCGTGCCCCTCTACGCGCCCAATCTCAGCCCGCCCGCGGACAGCAGGATCCACGTGCCGGCCAGCGGGTACTGCTGCCTGGAGTGTGGGGACGCGTTTGCCTTAGAGAAGAGCCTGAGCCAGCACTACGGCCGGCGGAGCGTCCACATCGAGGTGCTGTGCACGCTGTGCTCCCAGACGCTTCTCTTCTTCAACAAGTGCAGCCTGCTCCGGCACGCCCGCGACCACAAGAGCAAGGGGCTCGTCATGCAGTGCTCCCAGCTGCTCGTGAAGCCCATCTCTGTGGACCAGATGTTCGCGGCCGCCGCCCCCGCGAACTCCCCGGCCCCGGCCGCCCCCGCCGCCCCCGCCGCCCCCGCTTCCCCCAAACACGGCCCGGCTCCGGGCGGTGCGGGCCCGGCCCTTCCGGCTCTGCCGCTCTACCCGGACCCCGTGAGGCTCATCCGGCACGGGATCAAGTGTCTCGAGTGTCACAGGCAGATACGCGACTACATGGCCATGGCTGCGCATTTCCAGAGAACGACGGAGGAGACCGAGGGGCTGGTAAGCAGACCCTTCCTGCGCTGGCCGTCGGCCCCTGGTTTACACGAGCTCCATGATTGGGCATGGAGGAAAGCTCATTGATGCGGGGGCACTGGTGGCATCTTAGGAGTCTTAGAAGAGGACGTCTGGCCTGATGGTTAGTGACCCTCCTGAATGCATAGTGCTTGGTGTTTATTGGGGGAAGGTCCTCCCCCCCCCCACCCCCACCCCGGGGAGACTCTGAAGGTTTGCCCGCTGTATCTGTGGCCACTCAGCCCCCCCCCTCCGCTGGGTGGGTCTCTGCTGGCGGCCCCCAGGTCCCTGGGAGGGGTCCACACAGTGTTCTCATGTGCCCGGAGGGCTTGGGGAACGCGAGTGGGGGGCCTCGCCGCCCGGTACCACGGCCTGTGCTCTCAGACCCACGTCACCCTGAGCTGTTCCCCAGGGTCGGGCTGAGGAAGGAGAGTGGCCCGGAACGCAGGCCGTGGCAGAAGCTCCTGGGGCCTCTCCCTTCTGTGTCCTCCCAGTCCAGGAGAGCAGCCCCGCGTCCGTGCGTGTTCCAGCTCTTGACGAGAGTGGTGTTTGTCTGGGCTGTGTCGGTGGCTGTCTGTGTTCACGAGGCCCTGTGAAAGCAGGCCTCCAGACGTGCCTCCAGAAGGCTCTCTCCTTCCTCCTCCAGGTGACTCCCTTCACGACCTAGCCAAGCCCAGCCCCTCACCCAGCCTCCCTGAGCCAGGGCCACCGAGGCCTGGGAGGAGAAAAAGCAGCTCTTTCTACTTCAGCCCAGCAGGGGCCGCACACCTGTTTGGTGGCCCACGAGCTCTCCACAGGCGGTCCCTGTGCGCACTGTGCGCCCCGCCCCCCGCGGAGCACAGGGGTGCTGTGGGGGGTGGGGACGGAGTCACACCCCTCCTCCAGGGCTTCCCGCGGCTCAGCGGGGGCAGGGCTCCCCGCTGCTACAATGTGAGGCCGAGGCAGACGGAGGTTGGGGCTGACAGGCTTGTAGACGAGGTTGCACAGAGTGCCTGAGAGGGACTGACGCGGCGAGGTGGCGCCAGGCAGAGGGCGGGGGCCGTGGGGAGTGACAGGATGATTGAGTTGGACCCTGGAGAAGAGTCTGGAGGAGGGGGAGGGGCCGGGGTGTTCCGAGTACCGGGAACAAAGGTGCGGGAAAGTGCAAAGTGCGCTCAGCTCAGGGGCCGGAGGAGAGGAGTGGTGGAGTTTGGTGGCCTGTCGACCTTCGGCAGCGCCCGGGGCGGGGCCAGCGAGGTGCTGTGGGGTGGCTGTTGTCTCTCCTCTGCGCCTTTTCCCCTCAGTTTGCATTCTGCTTCTGGTGAGTCCGATGGAGTGGGGCGACCCCGGCCCCTTTCCCCGGGGGCTTTGGTCTTCTGGCTGTCCCCACATGGCTGACTCGGGCCAGGACCTCTTCTTCTAGGTCGTGTGATCAGAACCACTTTCCGCAGAGTTCTGATGCTTGGTGTTTTTCCACACTGTTCTTCACCCGCCTTCTAAAATCCGTGCAGGAAGACGTCAGGGTATAGGATCCCCGGCTGACACCCTTCCCATCCTGCTGCTTCTGTGTGTCGCTCTCCTCTGGTGGGAGCTGGACCAGAGGTCCCCCGGAAAAGAAGGGAGAGGGTACCCAGGAAGGCTGTCGGGCTTCTCTCAGCCCAGCTCAAATCCCTCACGGGGAGTCCCGCCGTTAAGTGTGGTCTCCGAGTCTTAGGCAAAGGGTAAGGTTTGAGGTCTGGGATCCAAACCTAGCCTTGTTGGCTGGGGGACTTGAGTCTCCCGAGACAGTAGCCAGGCTTCCGGCCACATGCGGGGAGGGGGGAGACGGGCTTCACTCTGGGGCAGGAGCAGCAGGAGGGCCTTGCGAGCTCTCCCTGGGTGTGCCGGCCTCTGCAGGGGCCAGAGGGCTTCTGGTGTTCCACGTGGCCTTGTTGGGCAGGATGTCAGCACAGAGAGACTATTTTTTCTTGGTCTTAAGCTTTTATGCAGCTATAGTATCATTGTCACCTCTAACAAAATGAATGACAGTTCTTTCATGTTGTCTAATACAAGTCCATATGCGAATTTTCCTTTTGTATCGAAAACTATCTTTTTATAGTCGGGCTCGTTTTGAATGGGGATCCAAACGTGGACCCACGTGTTAACATTCGTTTATGTCTTTTACATTTCTCACTCTAGAACAGCACCGTTTCCCACTCCACCCCACCAGACCCCCTCCCCCACTTACTTTTCATGTCCCTGATTTCCTGAAGAAACAGGTCCCTGGGCCCTGGGAATTTTCCAGGACAATTCTGGCTTTGACCGGTGCTTCCTCATACAATTAATTTGTTCTTCAATATGCCGTATCTTATGGGGTAGACTAGAAATTGGCAGTTTTGAGGAGGGGGACTACCGCGCCTTTTGTACTTCTTGACTTCAGGGAGGCACAGAGTCCTTGCCTGTCTCTGTTTTGACGATGCTCAGTCACTGGACCAGTGAGTCCAGGTGGTGCTGTTCTGATCCCTTCGTTGTAACGTTCCCTATACTTCGTGTAATTATTTTAGTATCCATTAATAACTGCTCCTTGAGTCAGTCATTTTATTAGGAGTTGTGTAAGGATGTTTTTGTAATTTTATTATTTCTTTCTCAGTTGTTAGCTGGAGTTCTGTATAAAGTATCTTTTCCTCTTTGATGAGGGCTATTTGGTTACCTTGAAATATAGTTTATGTTGGAAAATGGGATATATACTTAATTTGTTTCCCTTAGTTAACAGTATTTGCGGTAGTGAGTTGTTGCCCAAACAATCTCAAGTAGTGTGTTAAGATTTTCTGTTTTTTATTTTTTTAATGTTTGTTTATTTTTGAGTGGGGGGGGGGAGAGACAGTGTGAGCGGGGGAAGGGCAGAGAGAGAGAGGGAGAGAGGTTGGGGGAGACACAGAACGTGAAGCAGGCTCCGGGCTCTGAGCTGTCAGCACAGAACCCGACACGGGGCTCAAACTCACAAACCGTGAGATGATGACTTGAGCTGAAGTCAGATGCTCAGCCTACTGAGCCACCCAGGCGCCCCACGATTTTCTGTTATTTTAAAAAATTGTGGTAAAACACACATAGCCTAAAGTTTACCATCTTCACCCTTTTCTAAGTGTGCAGTTCCGTAGCATTAAGTACATTCACACTGTTGTGCAATCAATTTCCAGAACTCTTTTCATCTTGCAAAACTGAAACTCTATACCCATGAAACAACTCCACCTTCCCCCCTCCCACCTGCCCCTCGCAACCACCCTTCTATTTTCTGTTTCTATGAATTCGACTACTCTGTCCCTCGTACAAATGGAATCACACAGTATTGGTTTTGTCAGTTACCCAACTGACTTACTGCGCTTAGCATGGTGTCCTCAAGGCTTGGCTGTATTGTAGCACGTGACTGTGTTTCCTTCCTTTTTGAGGCTGCCTGGCCCTCCACTGTGTGTTTAGACCACCTCCGTCTCTCCGTTCATCCCCTGACGGCCGCTTGGGCCGCTTCCACCTCTTGGCTATCGGCAAGAACGCGGCCGTGAACATGGTGCACACACATCTTTCGGGGGTCTTGCTTTCCGTTCTTTTGGGTGTGTACACAGAAGTAGAATGGCTAGGGGGCACCTGGGTGGCTCAGTCAGTTGGACGTCCGACCTCGGCTCAGGTCGTGATCTCACAGCTCATGAGTTCAAGCCCCACATCAGGCTGTATGCTGACAGCTCCAGCCTGGAGCCTGCTTCAGATTCTTTGTCTCCCTCTCTCTCTACCCCCTCCCTCACTCATTCTCTGTCTCTCTCTGTCTCTCAAAAATAAACATTAAAAATAAAAATAAAAAAAAACAAGTAGAATGGCTAGACCAGGGGCAAACCCTCTTTCAGAATTTTTACGGATCCCCTCCCCCTCCCCCCCCCCCCAATGCCATTTTCCATGGCGGCTGCATCATTTCACGTTCCCGCCAACAGAGCACGAGGGTTCCAGTTTCTCCACATCCTCACCAACACCTTTTTCTGTTTTGTTTGTGCGTCTGTTTGCCTTTGACGGGAGGCATCCTAGTGGGTGTGAGGTGGCCTCCCCTGCCGTTGTCATGGAAGCAGTGGTTTTCACATGTTTGGTATGTTGGGGTCAGTCACTTTTCCACGTCTTTGGTTGTGGGGCCCCGTCAGGCTGGTTCCTGCACCCTCTGGACGTGAACTCGTAAAGCCTGAGAAGCTTCCTTACTTTCAGCCCCCAAAAGATGTACTGGGCACGTTTCTTGTGCTAAACTAGGAGTCGGCCATCCTTCTGAGGAACCAGGGTTCTTGAAGTGAGGAATGGTGCTTAGGAGTCCCCTTCTGGACGCCAGAGGTGCTCGCTGGGTACATCTGCTACTAGGCTTTTGCTGTGGCCTGAGCTAAGAAGTGTATGTTTTTTTTATTGTATGGTTGTTAGTATGTATGTATTTTTAAAGTTTTATTTCTTTAAGTAGTCTCTACATTCCACGTGGGACTTGAAGTCATGACCCCGAGATTGAGTCGTGTGCTCTACCGACTGAGCTGGCCAGGTGCTCCAAATTAGAGTTTTTACGTAACTGATTTTATTTTATTTTTTTTAACGTTTATTTATTTTTGGGACAGAGAGAGACAGAGCATGAACGGGGGAGGGGCAGAGAGAGAGGGAGACACAGAATGGGAAGCAGGCTCCAGGCTCTGAGCCATCAGCCCAGAGCCCGATGCGGGGCTCGAACTCACGGACCGTGAGATCGTGACCTGAGCCGAAGTCGGACGCTCAACCGACGGAGCCACCCAGGCGCCCCCGTAACTGATTTTATACGGAAAATCTTGGTTCCTCTGATTTTCCTACTACGCACACATACACATAAATTTCAAAATATCAATACCAATATTATTTCTAATGTTAGAACAACTGAATAAAATTGAAGATGTGTTTCCAGTTCTTTTTGCTCTTAGATCACATTAAGATGTATAAGTCAATATGCTGTGTTTAAAATTTTTTGGACGTTTGTTTTTTGGGGGGGGGAGGGGCAGAGAGAGCGGGAGACACAGAATCTGAAGCGGGCTCCAGGCTCCGAGCTATCAGTGCAGAGCCTGACGCTGGGCTCAAACTCACGAACTGTGAGATCACGGCCTGAGCCGAAGTTGGATGCTTACCCCACTGAGCCACCCAAGTGCCCCAATGCTGTGTTTTAAAGGTCACACTGGGAACAGTTATTTTTTTCTATGTGGTTATGTCACCAGCTTGATACATTGTTAGATTATTTAGTTTCTGATTTTCAATTTTTAGGGAATGTTTTTGTTTACTTAGTTTAATTTTTTATTATTTTAAAACTATGTAAAACATTTTTGTGATTCCAAACTTAAAAACTGTTTGACAGAGTCCACCCTGAAGTCTTGCTTCTGTCTCTGTCCCTTTCACTCTGTTCCCTCCTGCCCCATATGTAACCATTTCTGTTCACTTTTGGTTTATCTCTCCATGGCTCTGTTTTACAAATATGTCTGTGCGTGTGCATGTGCGTGTGCGTGTGCGTGTGCGTGTGTGTGAGAGGTCATCTTCCTCCGTCTCTTACACAGAAGGGTACAGCTTACTTATTTACTGTTCTACATCTAAAGTAATACTTAAAAATTTTTTTAAAGCCTTTTTATTATGGAATGTCCCAAACACATATAAAAGTGGACAGATGGCATAACGAACCCTGGATTAACAATTATCAACTCCTGGTCCATCTTGTTTCATGTATTTTCTAACCCCCCCCCCCCCCGGATTATTTTTAAACAAATGCCAGCATCACCATATCTATAATAGTTCAGTATGTATCTATAAAATATGAGGTTCCTCCCCCCAAACCATAGACATGATATCATCACATCTCAAAATTAATCATAATGATAATTTCTTCTTATTATCAGACTTTAACATTAAATGTCAAACTTCCCAATATTATCACCGAGTTAGTGTTCAAGTATCTCTGATTGTCTCATTTCTTTTACAGTTGGCTTGCTTGAATCAGGATCCAAATAAGTGCTCTACATTGCGATTTGAAAATTTCTCTTAAACTTCTTTTAATCTGTAACTTCCCTTTCTCTCTCTGTTTTTCCCTTGAAATCTATTTGTTGAAAAAACTGGGTGGTATGTCCTGTCGAGGCTCCACATTCTGGATTTTGCCTTTCCTGTCTTCCCCAACGACCTGGCCCTCTGAACAGCTCTGGGCCCAGGTCAGTGGCCGCCGCAGCGAGGAGCGAGTGCTGCGCTTTCCTTCCGACCCAGAAGGGCCCCTGCCTCGGGCGCCAGCTCAGTCTGCTGCTTCCCCCGGGCTGTGCCCACTAGAGGGGCTGTGCCCACGAGGGCGTCAGGGGGCGGCCGCAGGACTTTTCTCCCCCCAGGTTCTCTCCCGAGTCTGGGAGCGAAGGAGCCGTTGCCCGTCCTGCCCTTTCCTGCAGGTGTGTGTGGTCGGCTGTGGCTCAGGACACCCCTGAGCGGGCAAACCTGGCCGAGGGAGTGGGCGCTGGCAAGGCCACTCGGCCGCCTGGCCCGGGGGCTTCCGAGAGCCAATCAGGTCTGCTCTGGAAGTCCCTGAATGGGCTAGCGGTGTCACGCAGGAACTGCCTCTGCTGAGCAAGGGCGGAGGCCCTGGCGGTTCTGGGAGCGTAGTGGGGTCTGAGGCTTCGGGAAGCGCCTTTGGCCTCTGGAGGGGAAAAGCTGGTCTTCTGCTCAGCCTGAGGGAAGAAACACTCGCAGTCCTAGAAGCGGGACTGGTCTGTGGGAATGTAGCGTCAGTCCTGTCTCTGACGAATAAGGTGAGAGGCGAAGCTTGCTTGGGCGACAGGTCGACACCTGTCACGAGGCCCAGGGGCCCCGAGTGTCCTAGGAGGGTGGGAGGAGAGCCCGGCGGGAGGAGGGGGCTGTTCTGACCCATGCTGCAGGGGAGCCAGACCGCGGTGCTTGGAGAGCCGTGAGCCTGCGGCACCTGCGTGAACGGCTTTCTTGGTGTTTTCTCTTAGACTTGCCAGGTGTGCCAGATGCTGCTGCCCAACCAGTGCAGCTTCTGTGCCCACCAGCGGATCCACGCCCACAAGTCCCCCTACTGCTGCCCGGAGTGCGGGGCCCTCTGTCGCTCGGCCTACTTCCAGACCCACGTGAAGGAGAACTGCTTGCACTACGCCCGCAAGGTGGGCTACAGGTGGGTGCTGCCCCGCGCTGGTCCTGCTCCTGGGCCAGAGCGTGCTCCAGCATGACCTTCGGTCTTCAGGGGCCTGGGATCCCACCTCATCAGACAGTGATGTTGATTGGAATAGAGACAGGCATTTTCATGTGGTAGAGAACAAGAAGAGAAAGGGAGACAAGAATAAAGAGCTAAAATTAAACATTAAAATGTAGCTTTAAAGGAGAAGTTTTGGCGAGATTAGTTTGACTTTTATTTATTTTTTAATGTTTATTTTTTGAGGGAGAGAGAGAGAGAGAGAGTGAGCAGGGGAGGGGCAGAGAGAGAGGGACACCCAGAATCCGAAGCAGGCTCCAGGCTCCGAGCTGTCAGCACAGAGCCCGACACGGGGCTCGAACTCATGAACCGCGAGATCATGACCTGAGCGGAAGTTGGACGCCCAACTGACTGAGCCACCCAGGCGCCCCTCGTTTGCTTTTTAAAAGTATATAAAGTTGATTTGCTGATAAAGCTTCTGTGTTTGGCATATTAAATTTACAGTACCATCATGATAATACATTTTCTAATTGTCGTACTTCAGATGTTCTCAGTTTCCATTACCAAATGGAACTGCAAGACACCAAACCCAAAGAGCTCTGGTGTCTTTATGTTGACTAGTTTTTGTCAGTTTGTTAGAAACCAGCAAAACCTGACGATGGAAAAAGTGATCAGTCTCAAAGTAAAACCAAGAAAACTCTATTTTAAACTGAATCTCCCCGCCATGTGTCAAATAAATGTAGGCAAGAAGTCATTTTCAGGAAAAAGATCAAAATGGGGAAGAACACTCCCTCCCAGACTCATCGGTCTGTAACTTCTACATCAGCTCAGTCAGGCCCCCTTTACTGATTTATTGCATTTGAGAGTTTCTACATCTTCTGATGTGTTTACTTAATAACTTTCACATCTGAAAGTTGATTCGGCACCAATTTAGCAAGGTTTTCTTCTCTTTGGTAGTAAAAAAAAATACTGATTTAGTTAATTTAGCAACTTTCTTTCTGAGTGCTTATTATTGCCTTTACTAGCATGCCAGACACTCAGGACCCAGGGGCTTCTGTCTGATGGGTCACAAAGCTGCCCAGGTGACTGTAACTCAGAACGGGAAATGCCCCAGGAGAGGAGCGGTCAGGACAGCCTCAGAGTGGAGATATTAGGAGGTTTTCAGGCCAAAGAAAAGGGGAGAGTGTCTCCGTGTGTTATCCAGCACAGAGAAGGTTACAGGGACCATGTGCCCTGTAGAGGGCATTTCTGTAGGGGGGGGGGGGGGTGGAGATGAACTGGGCGGGGGGAGGGGGAGAGAAAAGAGACTAGGGCATTGGAAGGGCCAGGCCCAGGCAAGACCTTGTATTCCTTGGCAGACGTTTAGACTTTCTCCAGGGGACAGTGAGGGGCTACAGATAGATTTGTAGCAGGGCGGTGGTCCCTGCAGGCCTGTGCTTCAGGAAGATCACTCTGGGGAGCTGACGTGTGTGCTCGAGAGGGGAGAGCCCGGAGGCTGGCTGAGGGGCGAGTGTGATAGTCCAGATGAAGCACCGAGCACTCCTGCTGTGGGGACAGAGAGAAGATGGGTCTGGGAAGGCTTTAGGGAGTAAAGCATTAGAGCTTGATGGGAGCTGGTAGACCGGGCTGAGAGTGGGGAGGGGCGAGTGGCGACTCTCAGGCTTCTGTCTTGGTGGAAGCATGTTGAAATGTGGACTAGTTTCTCGTGCACGTTAGGGAAGTGGAGAAGCTGCTGTGCCGGAGGAGCAGGACAGAGCCGGGGGTCACACAGCCCTCACCACCATGCTGCAGAGGAGCACTGCTCGGCAGCTCCCAGCCCATCTTTGTTCTTATAAGTAATCTCTGCTCCCAACGTGGGGCTCCAACTCACGACCCCAAGATCAAGAGTTGTGTGCTCCACACAATGAGCCAGCCAGGCAGGCGCCCCCCGGGCCACATTGTTAAACTAAACACCTGAATGTGTGTTTTTACAGTGTGATGTAACATTTGAAAACACCTTTCCAACTGTGACTTAAGCGTGTGCTGCTTGCTCCAAGATCAAATCCAGCCCAATAAAAATGCAAGCAATGCTTGGGTTTTTGTCCTTGAATCTTAAATCCAAGGCATTTTTTTTTTTTAATTTTTTTTTTTCAACGTTTATTTATTTTTGGGACAGAGAGAGACAGAGCATGAACGGGGGAGGGGCAGAGAGAGAAGGAGACACAGAATCGGAAACAGGCTCCAGGCTCCGAGCCATCCGCCCAGAGCCTGACGCGGGGCTCGAACTCACGGACCGCGAGATCGTGACCTGGCTGAAGTCGGACGCTTAACCGACTGCGCCACCCAGGCGCCACATCCAAGGCATTTCTAATAGCATATGGATTCATGGCTTTTTTTTGTTTTTTTTTTTTTTTGGTCTCTTAATTCAATGTTTTGTTTTACTTTCTTCTGTAAGACTAAAAGGAAACATAGTATCTCAAAAGCAATTCAGTTTATCAAGCCTTCTTGTAAGGAACATCAGACACAAATGTAATGCGATTCAGCCAGATGGCTTACTGACGGTTTTGACAGTAAAATCTTCGGTGATCCGTGGTTGAACTCAGAAGATGTGTGTGCTAACATAGTATTCGTGGCACTTAAGATCTTCAACTATTCACATATATTTTTTGTATTAGCTTTATTTAGACATAATTCACACACCATACAATTCACCCATTTTAAAGGGTGCAACTCAATGGTTTTTCGTATATTTACAGAGCTATATAGTCACCACCACAGATTTTAGAACATTTTTATCATCCAAAAAGAAACTCTATATTCATAACCCTTCCATTCCCCCACCCCTAACACTAATTTATTTTCTGCCTCCTATATTTGCTTCTTTGGGACATTTCATAGCAATGGAATCATATAATATGTAGTCTTAGCCAAGATTCATGCATATTGTAATATATCAGCATTTCATTCTTTTTTTGTGGCTGAATGGTGTTCCATTGTATATGTATATACACCACAGTTTGTTCATCCGTTTACCAGTTGATGGGTACTTGGGTTTCCACCTTTTGGCTGTTACGAATAATGCCGCTGATGAACATTCACTTGTAAGTTATTGTGTGGACATATGTTTTCAGTTCTTTTGGGTCTATACCTAGGACTAGAATACTTGGGTCAACTGCTAACTCTACGTTTAACTTTTTGAGGAGCTGCCAAACTGTTTTAAAAAATGGTTGCACCATTTTTATCTTCCTGCCAGCAGGGTAGGAGATTTTTGGTTTCTCTGCATCCTCACCAGCATTTGTTATGGTCTGACTTCTGATGGCCATCCCTGTGGGTATAAAGTGGTGTCTCGTTACGGTTTTGATTTGCATTTTCCTAATGGCTCGTGGTGTTGAGCATCTTTTCTGTTTGGTATTTGTGTATCTTCTTTGGAGAAATGTCGTTTTTCACATTTTTAAATTGGATTATTAATTGTCTTACTGTTGAGTTATAAGAGTTCTTTGTATACTCTGGGTAAAAGTCCCTTGTCAGATACATGATTTGCAAATATTTTCTCCCATCGTGTGGGTATTACGTTTTTTAGTAAATTCTGAAAATGTACCTATGTTCCATTTCATTGGGTTTTACAATATTACTTTGTTTTGTATTATTTTTGCTTTTTCTTGAAGACATTGTCAAAGTCCTGTGCATTTTGTATGTGTTTTATGTGTATGTATTTTATGTAAAAGGGGTATATACGTTATATACATATTTTAGAATTATATAAATTATTCTGCTCTTTGTTGAAAATTTGGAGAGCGACCAATGATGTCATAAAGGAGCAAATTTAGATTGTTCTTAATGATATGTCATTTTCTTATTTGTGATTATTAGGACAATTAAGTATTTTACTACTCTTTGTTTTTTCTAAAATTTTACATATTTTGCAACATATGATTCCATAATTATCTATGTTCTCTTAAAAAATTGGTGAAGAGCTGTGTTGTGGGGTCAGATTTGTCTTCTGAGTGCTTTTTCATCAATTTGTAAACCCTACTTGATTCAGTCTTTCACTGAAGCTGATGTATGTCCCTTTAAACCTTCATGTTTTTACTTTCATTGAGGTTTCTTTGAAGAATGTCTGTAAGGTAAATAGAATAGATTTTCCCTTGCATTTTTGAAGCGTATATTCCCCCTGCTGAAGTTTGGTCAAACTGCACAAATATGGTTACTTAAGATTCTTTCCACATGTCAGGTATACTCGGCCACTTTGGATGAATTTGGAAATGTGTGGACTTTTTTCCTCCTTATGATGCCTTATGGTATGGAAGTACTTCTGTGTGCTAGAAGTTGGTCACTATTTTGTTTAGCAGGAGAGAAAAGAAAATATCATTAAGTAGTTTGCATTAGAAACACTTAATTTAAAGAATGTACAGATTTACTAGTGAGTGCACCTCAGAGATCACTGCCAACAGCTTTCTGGTTCTTTGGGTTGCTTCTCGTAACTGATTAAGCTCGCAAAGGTGGTCCCATCTCCCGCCCGCCCCCCTAAACGCACACAAAAGGATTCTGTGATGATTTATGTGGACTGTGAAAATGGGCTCACGTACTGGATTGAGGGGTTATATTTGGGAGCCAAAGAATTTTTAAGTGAAGCCATGTCCTTTTTTTCAGTAAAGCAATAGCCTCTCTTCTAGTGCTTACTGGGATGTCAGGGTTATGGGGTCAGGTAATACTGCAACGAAAGGAGGAAAGAAGTTACCTTGAGAGGAGTGGCTAGGAGCAGGGAAGATGTTTTCTCATGGAGGGGAGACCTGGATGTGTGTCTAGGGACTGGAATGGATGCAGGATGCCATGGAGGTCACATGGTCCCGTGATCCCGAGAAAAGAAAAGGCGGTGTTTATAGAGAGAGGTTCTGAAGTTGAAAGTTTCAGAATGCCTCCATTTCAGAAAAAATGGCCTAAGACTGTTCATACATTATAAAAGTGATATATTCACCCAACAAAGCTCAGGAAATACAACCTGGGAGAAGAAGTAAAAAGTTATCCACTGTGCCACCCAGGAGACACTGTGACAGTCATGAGTCCCACAGTGCAGAATGGTACCAGCTACATCTGGCTGTGGAGCCCTTGACGTGTGGCCAGCGTGACTGGCCACTGTGTCTTATTTTATTTTATTTAGATCCGCTTGCCATGTGGCCAGTACAGCGTAGAGCGTTCCCGCCGCCACTGAAGCTCCCCGGACAGGCTCTGGAGGGTTCCGTCCTGGGCTTTGAGGGCTGTGTGTTTGAATGTGCTTGTTGCCATGCTGAGCGCCGCATTTCTAGCTGCACTTTTTATTAAGTGGCCGTCCCTGCACGTTGGGTACCAGCCTGTGGGAAGGCATAGGCTTCCTGTAGCCTCCTCCCGAAGTTTCCCTTGGACCCCTGCCGTCGTGTCACACTTCAAAGGATGCTGTTTATGTCATTTTGGAACCATTCCTCTCCCTCTCCGTTCCCTCCAGCTTCTCTCAGCTGGGCTCAGATGTTTGGTTTGCAGAAGCATAGCCTGTGGCCGGTGAGGGGAGGGGCGGGTTTCTCCCCCCTTCTCTACCAGGCATAGCCTTGGGCTTGGGTGTCCTGGGTGACCGCACTGTGCCCCATGGCAGCAGGCAGGCTCTCAGGACATAGGTGTAGAGGATGGAAGACAGTGCCCAAGGGAGGGGGACACAGAGAGTCCCGGAGATGGCTCTGTCCCTGCTCTCCATCCCTCCCTTACCAGCGCTGCTTCTGGGTCTGACACCCCCGCCCCCTCCTGTCATCCAGGTGCATCCACTGCGGGGTCGTCCACCTGACCTTGGCCTTGCTGAAAAGCCACATCCAGGAGCGACACTGCCAGGTTTTCCACAAATGTGCATTCTGCCCCATGGCCTTCAAGACTGCCAGCAGCACCGCGGACCACAGCGCCTCTCAGCACCCCACCCAGCCCCACAGACCCTCCCAGTGAGTGCAGCTCCAGGGTCAGCAGGCCCGTGGGGTGGAGCTCAGTGGCCTAGGTGCTACGGGCGGGGGGAGGTTCCGGGACGGACCAGGGAGCCGGGGCTGGCGGGAGAGGTGCCTGGAGGTCACTGAAGACATCCTGAGGCAGGGGAGTATCCACATCGGCTCAGAGTAGTGTTTCCCCGGAGTGGACCCCGTTTCAGAGAGAGCACAGTGGGGGTGGAGGTTGTGTCCACAAGAGCCTGGCCACCTCACGCCCCGGGGCTTGTCTCGTCAGGCTCATTTATAAGTGCTCCTGTGAAATGGTCTTCAACAAGAAGAGACACATTCAGCAGCATTTTTATCAGAATGCCAGCAAGACGCAGGTGGGCGTCTTCAAGTGCCCTGAGTGCCCACTGCTGTTCCTGCAGAAGCCGGAGCTGATGCAGCACGTCAAGGTGGGGTGCCCTAGGGAAGGAGGCTGGGGAGGAGGACGCGCGCCTCAGGCCGGGGGGTCTGATTCTGTGCACCTTTCCCCTCGCCCAGTCAGTAATCGCTCTCCCCATCCCCAGAGCACCCACGGTGTTCCCCGAAACGTGGACGAGCTGTCCAGCCTCCAGTCTTCATCGGACACGGCTTCGAGCCGGCCTGGCTCTCGAGTTCCCACCGAGCCCCCGGCCGCCAGCGTGGCCGCTCGGGGCAGCTCCCTGCCCTCCGGCCGCTGGGGCAGGCCCGAGGCCCATCGCAGGACCGAGGCCAGGCCCCGGCTGAGGAACACTGGCTGGACCTGCCAGGAGTGTCAGGAGTGGGTTCCTGATCGGGAGAACTACGTGTCCCACATGAAGAAGAGCCACGGTCGGGTCAGTGTCGTCACATCGTCACAGTGCAGTGCCAGACTCTCTGGACATCTGTGGGCTCAGAGCCCCCTTGTGTGGCTGACCCCTTAGGGTTCCTGGTGCTTGGGGCAGGGTGGGTACCACAGATCCCGAGGTCTTTGGGGCACCCCCTTTCTGCCTGCATCACCCGAGTAGAAAGATATATCCAGAACCGTCTTACGGTTCTGATGCTTTGCATCCCGTCATCTCCCGTAGACGTTGAAGCGGTACCCGTGTCGGCAGTGTGAGCAGTCCTTCCACACCCCCAACAGCCTGCGCAAACACATCCGCAACAACCACGACACCGTGAAGAAAGTCTACACTTGCGGGTGAGTCCCTGGAGGTGGGAGCCGGGAGGCCTGAAATGCAAAAAGTCTGTCCAGGGCTTTTCTCTGCTGTGAGATCAGGGGTCGGAAGCAAGATGATACGAGCGGGTTTCTAATGGGAAAACGCTGTGGCTAAGTTAGAAGGCAGGGCTGGTAGGGAACCAGCTTCTAGAACCTGCTGGCCCCTGAGCCCTCCCCCTTCGTACCTCCCTGACCCTGGGCTGCACTGCCCGCTGCTCTGACGGAGGGCTGGCGGTGTCACTGTGCCCCGTCTGGCCGAGAGGCTTCCGCATCGTGTCTGTGCTTCGGGACATAGCCTGGCCTCTTCCTTGCTGACCTGGCTTAGGGCCAGCACATATATTGTGAGACCTGCTGTTGTTGTCTGCCACCTTGGCCGGCTCGTCAGCTGACCTTCTCTGGGAGCCCAGCACCGCCCAGCCAGCCCGATGACCACCCAGCCAGCTCTCTGCCTGCTCCAGACTGTCCCCTGGAGCCAGGAGCAGCTTCAGCTCCTGCCAGGGGTGCTCGGAGCCTGTCCTCTTACACAGTCTCTTCGGCTGCAGGTACTGCACAGAGGACAGCCCCAGCTTTCCTCGGCCCTCCCTTCTGGAGAGCCACATCAGCCTTATGCATGGTATCAGAAACCCTGATTTGAGCCAGACGTCCAAAGTCAGACCTCCGGGTGGACATTCCCCTCAGGTGAGTGCAGGGGCCCCTGCCCCTGGAGGCGCCTGCTCAGTGAGCCCCCTGAGCTGCAGGGCCAGCAGGAGGGCTCCGGGGAGCAACCAGCAGCCACAGCTTCCCTCAGTGTAGGCCATTCTCTAGTCACGCGTGACCCACCTGGGGACTGCATGCAGGTAAAGGACAGGGACAAAGATCTGTGAGACCGCCCATCAGCCTTTTGTTCCCGTGGTTTCCCTGTCACTGGGATGCTTTCCTCAGCTGTGTGTCATGTTGTGTGGACACTGGAGTGCGTTCACACTCACTGTCCTGTTTCTGCCCCACTGGTCCTGGGTCGGGGGAAGGGCAGGGCTGCCTGTCAGGCGAGGACGGCAGTGAGTGTCTCTCTTACACACACACACACACACACACACACACACACACACACACACACACAGTCGTTGTGGGAGGGGCTGGGTGCAGACCCCTGCTAGCCTGGGCCCTCGTCCCGTGACCTTGCCCCCATTTCGTGCCCTATTCCCATTATTTCTTCTGAACTTCTAGAACCGCTTGGTTCCCCTCCACTGTAGGCCCTTCCTGCTCCATGGTGGGGAGGGCTGCTTCTCACAGGGTCAGGCATGTCGGGGGGAATTTGAGAGCCGCCTGGACTTCCGGGGCGCTCCTTCTCGGCCACTCAGGGAGGGCGTTGGTCGGCAGGCCCTTCCGCACAGAGCAGGTGGGGTGTCAGTTGACATTCTGGCAACATCTGCCTGTGCTGAAAACGCACACCCCCCTCCAAATGCACGTGCCCTTGGAGCCACCATTCCGTCCCCAGGGTTTGTCCGCCCTGTAGCTTCGGCCTCGTGCCTGAGGAGGTGTGCGCAAGGATATTCGCTGCGGGGCTGTGTGCAGTGACAATGACGGGACACAACTGAATGTCTGCCAGCGGGGACGCCTCGTCATTGCCAGTGTTAGAGGAAGGAAGCCTCTGTGTATGCCCTCATGCAGCTGATGGCCAACGCATGTCATTAAGTAGAAAAAGGGGGAGGAAGAGTGTGCATGTAGCGCTATCGTTTTGTAGAAAACAACAGTTTTTTTAAAAAACTTTTTGTAATGTTCATTTGTTTTGAAAGAGAGGGAGAGAGAGAGAGAGACAGAGAGCACGGGGGGGGGGGGAGGGGACAGAGAGGGAGAGATCGACGTGGGGCTCCATCTCATGAACCTTGAGATCATGGCCTGAGCAGAAACCAAGAGTTGATGCTTAGCTGACTGAGCCACCCAGGTGCCCCAAAGATGACAGTTTTATCTTTGTGCACACAGAGACTCTCTCTTGGAGGGGCCTCAGAAGCCAGGTGGCAGGGTGTTCTGTGGAGAGCAGAGAACATGCCCCTCCCGTGTCTTTGGAATGTGGGGCCGCACACATACGTTACATTAGACAAAGCACCAGCCAACAGAAAAACCTGAAAGAAACCAGATCTAAACCCGGTTCGGGGCCAGGGCGAGCCTGGCCTGGGGGGGGACGTGGGGGGGGGGGGGGGGAGATTCTGTGAGTGCGGGGGCTGCGCCGTTCAGGTGTGCGGCTCAGCTCTGGGGCCCGGGCTGGGCTGGGACCCCACTCACCCTGCTTCCCCCTCCAGGTGAGCCATCTGAAAAGACCGGGCAGCGGAGCCGGGGACGCTCCGGGCACCAGCAATGGCGCGGCCGTCTCTTCCACCAAAAGGCACAAGTCCCTGTTCCAGTGTGCGAAATGTAGCTTTGCCACAGACTCGGGGCTCGAGTTTCAGAGCCACATACCTCAGCACCAGGCGGACAGCTCCACAGCCCAGTGTCTCCTCTGCGGCCTGTGCTACACCTCTGCCAGCTCCCTCAGCCGCCACCTCTACATCGTCCACAAGGTGAGAGACCAGGAGGAGGAGGAGGAGGAGGAGGAGGAGGAGGAGGAGGACGCGGAGGCGGTGGCGGTGGCGGAGGCTGCGGAGGCCGCGGAGCCAGAGGAGGGCTCCGGGGAGGAAGTGTCCATGGAGACCAGGGAGAACGGACTGGAAGAAGGTGCCGGAGAGCCTTTGTTGGGCGACACAGAGGCGAGGTCGCCAGGCCCGGCTTCTGAGGAGGACGGAGCCCAGGACGCTCAGAGTCAACCACAGGCCTCTCAGGACCAGGACAGCCACGCTCCGTCCCCTCAGGTGTGACCGGAGGTGTGGCAGTGTGCGTGGCCGGAGGGGTGCCCCGGGCGTCCTCCGTGTGCCATGGGGACGGTGGGAGATACGAGGCTCTGCCCCGGTGTGCCCTGGAGCAGTGCCCGCCCTGAGCTGTGGGGTCTGGGTGTCCCCCAGCCCCGGGCAGTGTGCGGTCACCCGGGACCCTGACAGCTCTGAATTTGCTTCTGTTATTTATGGCTTTGTGCTGCTTCTTGGTACCCCAGCTCTTGTCTGTGTCCTTCCAACCCCAGGCCGCGTACGTGGCCCGGCCCCAGCGCCGTCGTCTTGGCCTGAAACCCCTGGGCGCTGTGCTCTTCCGGGAGGTCCCCGCCCGCTGCCTGCAGCCAGGGCTCTCTTGGGAGCTCTCGCGGGCTGCAGATGGGCCGCTCTGCTTCCTGCCAGCGGAGCCGGAGAAGGGGGTGAGGCTGCCGGCGCGGTCCTTCCTGGGGAGCTCTGCCCGGGCTGGCCTGCGGAGGGCCCTCAATCACCCTGCCCTTCCTTCTTGTCTTCTCGGATTCTTTTCCCCCAAAAACGGTCCTGGAGAATTGTCACCCGGGCCCCTCCTGTCTGTGCGGGTGGGAGAAGGTTGTGCAGCACACTGGTGTTTGGACCCCGGGAGGGCAGGTGCCGCGGTCCAGGCAGGCAGGCACCGAGAGGCACACCCCCTTCAGAAGGAGCCGTGTGCCCCTGTTCTGCTGCTGTTCTGCCTTTCCTGACAAGTGGGCTTGGGGGCACACGGACACTGGGATCTTTGTACTCTCGCTCCTGTGCCATTAGAGAGGCCGCCGCTCCGGGCAGGCCGGCCCCTCCTCCTCCTGGCTATACTCATGTTGCTCAGACTATATTTCAAATAAAAACTCTTCTTACCATGCAGGTGGGCTCTTGTATTCCTCTTCAGGTGAGCCTGGCCCTACCCTGCTGCGTGTAAGAGTCTCTCCCACACTTCTGTCACTGTCCCATCTCTAGGGGAGAGCAGTGTCCTGCCGTCCCAGGAAGGTCCTTCCCAGATTCTTGGAGCCGTGGTTAGGAAACCGGCGGCTCAGAACTTGGTCCTCTAGAAACCTTGCAAGGGCGTGAGGGGAGGGTCTTTGTACTGGTCAAGCGTCACCTGCAAGGCCTCCCCGGGGTCAGCAGCCTTGGCATTAGGGCCCACTGAAATGTTCTGGGCGCCTCTCTCTTTCCTACAAACCGGTGGCTGTGGGGCGGGGTGGGGGGGGAGATGTTCTGTAGTTATCTTGTGTTCGGGAGGCCTTGCTGTTGCTGCCGCCACAGGGACCTCTCTGGTGTGGAGATTCGGGATCAGACGGGAGGCTGGGCCGTCTTCACTGCTGGCAGAGTCGGGGCCCTGTGGAGGTGACCTCTGAGCTCTGACCCAACCCGTGGCTGCAGCCCTGCATGGCCGGGGTGTGGGGCTGGTCCGGCGGCGCCCATTGCAGCAGAGGGAGGCGGGTGCTGGCCGAGTTCTTACAGGTGCTCTTTCAAGGGAGGCACTATCAGTTGTCAGATAAATACGCCTGACCTTTTCACAATTGAAAAAAAGTACATTTTCTGTCAGATCCCAGTGGAAATGCGAACGGCACGGGGCACCGCTAAGAGCCCGCCTCCGTTTCAGACCCTGCCGTCCCTGCTTCCCAGGCAGGCAGTGAGGCAAGCTGGGCCCGATCCGGCCACCTGCAGACGCTGAGGCCACCCCACGTGGGCTGTCATCCCTTTCCTGGTTCCGCTGCGGGGCCCGCCCTGCCCCCCATGGTCCATTCGCAGGGACGGATCACAGAGGAGGCCCTGAGAAGGGTTTGACATGGATTGTTGCCTCTCTTCCCGCTCAGAAATAGCGGTGGGTGGAGTGGGGGAGGGGGTAGTGACCTCGCAGCCTCGACGACCACCTGTCCTGACCCACATCCAGCTCTCTTTCCCGGGAGCGGTGTGGGGTGAAAAGACCGACCTCCTCGCCAGGAAGCCTGGGCCACATCCTGGGTTCCGCCCCTAATCGGCTCTTAGCAAACCCACCCCCCTTCCAAATAGTCCTGGTGACTCCCCTCCATCTCGCCTCACAGGCCTTTGTGGGATGAGGAGTGTGGGACCTTTTCTAAGTTTGTGAAACACTATATGAACGTAAGGGATTCTTGCCTTTAGGGCATGGAGGGTGGGGCGCACCCCACCTGCTGTTCAGGCTTGGATGCGGATGGTCAGCGATAACTTGCCCGGGACACGTATCCATCATGTAGCAACAGTGACGGCGATGGCACTTCAGACCCTGCTAGCGTGCCCCATATCTTGCTAAATACTTTCCGGTGGTTTCCATTTAGTCCTCATGAGGATCTCACAGAAAGAAAACCGAGGCTCCGAGAGGTCAAATAACCCGCTGGGCTGCCTGTAAGTGCTGGTGCCGAGTCAAGCCCGCGGGATCCTCAAGTCCACGGTGTCAATCCCTGTGCCCCGGCTGCTTTGGCTGGCCACCAGCTCAGTGGCACTCTGCAGCCACCCACACACCTGCCTTCCTACCTCCCCTGTGGTCGGGTAGCCCACGGAGCGCCAGGTTCTCTTTGCAGTCAGTCTGTGCCAAGTCACCCCAAGGAGAGCCCTGCGTGAAACTTCCGTGCGTGACGCTCTGCAGCCCGGGCAGTGTTTCCCCGACCTTCCATTCACATTGGGGTATATCTTGCATTTGAAGACTGTTTTTCGGGGCGGGGGCGGGGGGGACCATCCCAGAAAACATGGTTCCCTCAGGGTCCAATATCTTCCGATCTTTTCTTTTTTTCAGATGTTTTTAATGGGTGTGCTATCATATCGTTTGTTATCATCAGAAAACGCTTGCTGTAACAAGCACTTATCTGCACATTAGCCGGAGTGAACACTCTGCTGATCAAGTTAAACAGATAAGATCCCCACCCTTGTAGAAACTACAACTTAATACACTCTAAGGCTTGACAAATGACTCGTATTTATTTTCCAACTGCTTTATCTCTGTAAAATGATGTGCTGAATTACTATAATTGGTGTAGAAAGAACTGTTCCCTTAACTTATGTAAACAGTCTGGTTTTGAAAACTTCACAGTTGTGGCTTAGCGAGTTCTCGACACACTCTGCCTTCCCTGAGACAGAGGAACCCCTGCTTGCCCTGTTCACCACTGTATATTCCGCTCTGGGCGCACTTTCTTTAACTCGTTTTTAAATTTTTTGTTGTTGTTTTGAAAAATTAATACATTTACACGGTAAGACATCCAAACAATACAAAAGAGTGAGTATACAATGGAAAGTAAGCTTCCTATCGGAGGTCAGCCTTCAGTTCCCCAGCCCGCCTCCAGAACTAATCACTGTTACCTAGATCCTGTGTACCCTTTCTGAGCAATTCTATGCATTTACAAGTTTATAAATATGTATATTTATATATCTATTTTTAATACAAATGGTAGCATTCTATGCAGCGTTCTGAAGCTTGCTTTTTTTTTTTTTTTTTTTTTTCCACTTCCGCAATGGAGATTGTTTCAAATTCATCCAGTGGGTCAGTCTAATTCTTTGAAAGCTCCTCACACGGTTCCTTGCAAACCGTAGCGGTCCCAAGAGTGTTCGAGTGAGTGAGTGAGTGAGTGCACGCACGTATGCACGTGGGAATGAAAGAGTCTGATTCAACTGGTCGCTACAAAGTTGTCTCAGGGTCTACTCTGAGCAAGACAGAATGTTCTAGATTCTAGGATGTGCCGTGTCATCACCCCTTCAATTACCCGCCCCCCTTCCCCGGCCGTGTTTTCCAAGGGATCCAGGCCATTCTTGACCTTTTCCATGAACAGATGCCACAGCAGCCTTAGGAACCAGGTGCTGGGAACCTTGGGCCCCTCTGGAGGAAGGAGCAAACCAGGAGCCAGGTCCCAAGAATAGGATTTTTTTTTTTTTTGAGGTCCCTATTTAAAATGCTTTTATCTTTTCTTTCTTTCTTTCTTTTTTTTAAATGCATTTTTCTTATTGGAAAATGACATCACATTGTTAGAGAAAATAAAAAACGTGTATTTATAATCCCATCTTACTTTTGCATTTGTTTTTATTACTGCCTTATCAGTTTCCAGTTCTTTCCAACCGCTTTTCCAACGGACTCTTGCTCAGCTCATAGCTGAATATGATATGATTATGGTAACAACCGGAAATTGAAAATTTCCATATGACAGACATTATTCTTCCATTCATTCTCTTATGTAGGCTCAAAACTCAAAACACTAGGATTCTTTGGAGGTTCAGAATGGTTGAGTAATTTCCCTAAGGCCACAGAGCTCGTTGCGGGCAATGCTGGGATTCACTCAGGTGCGAGGAGCACCACATTGCCTCTGATTCTGTACCCTACTTTTTTCTACTTAACATTGTATCTGGGCATTTTCTGTGTTTCTACATAGCCCTTAAATCCTCATTTTCAATCATTGTAATCATTTTCAAATCAACATAATTTACTTAACCCATTTCCTGTTTAACATTTAATAAATCTCCCTCTTCGTCAGTGCAAGGAAGAGTCCCGGGCATACAGACTTTTGCTTCTGCAGAATTATTTCCTCAGGGGGTTACCCCTACTTCCTTGACTGAACCCCCTGGCAATGTGCTAGAATGAAGAAAGCCAGTGACTAGAAACCAGAAGCTCTATAACTAAGTTGTTTGATCTTTCTTGGCCTCAATACTCCCATCTGTCAAATGCCGGGGGGGGGGGGGGGGCGGTGGTGGTGGTGGCTTAAATCTCTGAGGATCCTGAGCTGGGCTAGATTTTACCTTCTTGTTCCTTATAGGTTTATATCAAAGAGAGGAGACCTCCCTAAAGGCAAGAACTCTTAACTGCATTTCTTCTCCTTTTCAATTGTTTTATTTATTTATTGACTTTTGGTCCTTAGTCACACACAAAAAATGGAAATGATCCCTCTCCACCCCCTCCCCTCAAAGGCAGTATCACTTGTTTGCATTTGTTTCGATTATCATTTCCATCAGATTTATGCTTTTTCAGACAGAGTCTGGCTCTTCTCTAAGTATCTTTCTTTGGGCTTTTGTCAGGCCTTTCCAAGTTTGAACCATTCACGTGATAATTCAGAAGCATCTTCAGATCCCTCTGTTCCCTAGGTGTCTTTTCATTAGGGACCTAGGTGCAGATGAGTTCTTGAGCTAGTTCATTGTATAGTGCATTGGCCTTTGAAAATGCTCTTATTTTTATATTTATTATTGCAAATTGAAATTGAGTTTTTAGTGCATGAATACTAAAAAAGTCAATATCTATATGACTGATTGTATGGAGAATGGGGCAAAGGGATGATAAAGCCATTTAGGTTAGTTCTGATTGGGAAAAGCCCCCATCCTGGCATGTGCTCACATGACAGAGGTCCGGCAGCACCATCATTTCATAGGTGGGCATGGTATTTGTGTGTGTATACATATATACACACACACGTGTGTGTATACGTACGTATATACACGTGTGTGTGTATATATGTATGTGTATACACGTGTATATATACACATGTGCGCGCGTGTATATGTATACGTGTGTGCATGCATGTGTGTATATACATGTGTGTATATATGTATTCATATACACACGTGTATATATGTATTCATACGCATGTGTGAATATGTACATGTACACACGTGTATGCGTGTGTATATATACGTGTGTGTATGCGTGTGTGTATATGTGTATTCATATACACGCGTGTGTATGTATATATACACGTGTGTATGTGTGTAATGTATATGTGTGTGTTTATGTACATATATACACGTGTGTGTGTGTGTGTGTGTCTTTTGCCTCTATTTTCTGTGAAGATGGGGATAGTTCATGCCTTTGATGCTTGCAGAGTGGTTCAGCTGCTCCTTGATGGGACATTCATTTATGAAACTGAGAAGCTCCACTGTTTCTCAGCCCCCCTCTTTCAGTTATAGCCCACGGCACACTGTGTATACAATTCCCATTTTCCTCTAGGACTTTCTGGTCCTTAGACCAATTTGCTTGGAATTTCTCCCTAGGACCCATGGTGCATAGACAGGGCTGAATATTTTTTGTATCTAAGGAGGAGGGTAGGTTTTGCTTCCTGAGAAGCTCTATTGTCTATGGAGGAGGGCTTTGAATATGATTTCCAAGTGGGGTTAGTAGGGGTGGGGAGTGGCAGCTGAGGAGGGGAAGGGGGAGGGGCTGGCAAGGAAAGGGCAGAAAGTTGTGGAGGTCAGGCAGGAGAGTTTGGGCAGCTGGAGGGTTTAGAGCCTGGAGATGGCACTTGACTTTGCGGGTGGGCAAGGGTGGTGGTGGTGACGGGCTCACACACTAGGAGTGGTCCATTACAGGCAAACATGGTGGGTGCCAGCAAGCTGGAAAATGATCTTAAAAATGATCGGTGGTGTCCCGTGGGTGAGTGGTCCTGGCGGCTGCTATTGCTGAGAGTTGTGAATGGGGTGAGATGTGGCTGCTGTGGAATGGAGGGCTGGCTGAGACACACGAGGTTCCTTAGAGAAAGACTTGAAGGGGAGGAGAAGGACCTACCTGCTCCTGCTGTAAGAAGACCAGGACAGGCCTGGGCTGGAGGTGGGGGGGGGGGGGAACGCGGTGGCTCTCCTGGTCTCTCTGAGGGTGCGGCATTTTGTGTCCTGGGCCTGAGTGACCTGCCCCCTGACCACAGAGTCACCCTCTCATCTCGTGATTGCCTTATTCTGGACAGGGCTGCTGTGGAATGAGAGTAGGTGCATTGGGGAGGGCACCCGGCTGGGGCAGCTCTACCCAGGTCCCAAATTCCCCTTCCAATCAAACCAGAATCAGGAGTGGCTTCTTGTAGCCAGTAATCCTCTAATTGGTGTCCACTTACTCCAGCGCAGATGTGGCCACTTCTCCAGTCCCTGGAGTGCCAGCCAGAGTGGCCAGCTCACCCAGGAAGGCAGGACCTAGGATCTCCACCCTCCAGGGTCAGGGGCTCAGCTGCCTGAGATGGGAGCTCTGAGGGCCCTTGGGGGAAGGCCAGACAAGCCATCCAGAGCACTGCAGATTGGCTTGCCGGAAGGACAGCTTCAGCGGTAGGGCCTCACGGGAGGGCAGGACCAGCCACAATCCAGGGCTTTGTTGAGCTCAGGGCTAAGACCTTTAAAATGAAGGGAATCAAAGGAAGGAAAAACAGAAAGAAGAAACTGGAGGGGTGGACATGTGTTCGATTAACTTACCGTGCTATTAACGACTTGCCCTGAAGAGGGGCCACAGGCCTGGGGGGGCTCGGAAGCACGGTGTGGAAGCTGATGTGGCTTCATCAGGAAGGTCTCACTGACCTCTGAACTCAATCCCTGTGCCATGGCTTGTGGAAAAGGCTACTTCAGCCTGAGTCCACACAGCAAAATAAGATCTTGACAGTCTATGGAGCAGAATGACATTGGTGATGGTGGTACGGAGCCCGGAAGAGCTCACGTGTGCGGCGTAAGGTTAACGGCACAGTAGCTTAAGGCGGACACTGGCAAAGCGGACGTGTTCGCAGCGTGGAGCATCCAGTCTGGTGTAGGGCCCTCGGTGCCATCTCATTCAAGGAGCTATTGAAGGAACTCGAAATCTCGTCAAGAAAAGAAGTGTTCTGTGACCAGTCACACTTCCTCTGTGTGGCCTCAGAGGGCAGAACAGAATTAGACTCGATAAAAGGAAAATCCTCTTGAAAATGAAACGGGCTGCCTGAGAAGTAGCGTATTTATTCCCAGTGAGAGGTGGAGGGGTTACTATAGGATGACCCGGTCCCCTTCCTGCCGACTCTGGGTAATCCCCGCCCCACCCCCTGCCCCCACTCCCTTGTTTCCTCCCCTCCACCTGGCTGGGGCCACATGTTCTGCCCCTCAGACGTGTCCCTGCTCCAGGCCAGGGAGCCGGCTCTGGCCCCCAGGAGCACCACTGTCGCACTCAGGGACTGGCATCTGGCCACTCTTGCTGGGCGGGCCTGGCGCCGGCCATTGGTCTGTGTCCGCTCCAGAAGGCCAAAGCTTGCACTTTATAACCCAACTCTGGCAACTCATTACTGCTTGATGATGCGCCTGATTTCCTTCGAGCTCTTTTGAGATGCGGAGGCAGGGAGGGAAGGGAGAGTTGGGGTGAACATGTCCAGGAAAAGCAAACATTTTGTCGCCCTCGTGGGTGGTGAGGAAGGAGGCCGGGCAGGGGGAGGGCAGGGAGAGCTGACGGAGCAGAAGTTCGAGAGCCCTGGAAAGAACAATAGACGTTTTGAAGCAGAGGTTAGTATAACTCAGAGATGATGGAGATAGCCTGTCCTCCTTCAAAGCTGAAGTTCTTATCCGGTGCTCCCACTTTTCCCTGCTGACCATTGCAAGCGAGGAGGGGGATGGGGAGGTTGGAGCTTGTTTGGAACCGTGGCTGTAGGGAAAGCAGAAGGTCGGCTTGGGGAGTTGGGAAGGGATTGCCAAGTTGCCTGAGATCAGACTCA